AGTTTTATTACAATTTACAAGTTTGGGAATGTCCTTGGGATCCAAGTGAATATAACCTCTGCCCATAGACTTCCGCCCCTTTACAATCTTACGATCTTAAGATCGATAAGTATGTTGATAGGTATTTTTCTGTCTGTCTGTTTGTTTGTCTGTTAGATGGACGCGGTATCTCACGAAGGCGAAGTTGAATCTGCTCCAAATTTTGCATGTGCATTCATCATATTTCGGAACAAAAGCCTATGAATTTTGAATGAATTATGTCGTATAATTAGGAAGTTAATAATTAATTAGTTGTGGGACACGCGGTGTCACTATAGAGTCATGAATCGAAATTGCAGTTTCGATCGATAAGTCTTCGGTCTCCGACCGATATTCTCGTTTGTTTTCTTGATGGCGGAGGAAGCCGTAACCTACCAGCGGTCACATGAGCCACCCTGCTGCGGCGAGGAGTCCAGCAATCCTCTCACACAAAATTATTCCCCACAGGATTCCAACCAGTAAACCCATGCAGAGTAATTTCGGTCCTTTCATAATAAAGTGGATCCTTATATAACAGTGCCCGCACGTGTGCAGATCCTTCTGCTACAGAGCCTTCGGAGTAAAGCTATAAATACGTCGTGTAATAAAAGCTAACGTCTCATTTTTCTGTTACAGGAAAGATACTCAAAGTGCTCAAACCTACCGCAGTACCTTCAATATTCAACACCTACGACCCAGAATTAAACAGCGTCAAATTTAAGATTAAAGAAGCTTCGTTAAAAGCAACGATGAAGCCGAAAACAGCTCAAGAAATCATGTTATCTCTACCTATCTCTTCAGTTTCTCAAGATGGGGAGCAAGCATATGTCAATAATGTTGTAATGGGCTTGACAGGTGACACCCACGGTCCCGACATGGTTGAAAAACTGTTCGTAACTAATATCAGAGGGTTGGATGAAATGCCAATGCACAATACAGGTATGACAGAAACTACAAATCTGGAAAATGCGGACTCTTTTAAAATTACTGGTGATGAAAACACAAAATCGAACTCAAATTCTGAACAAGAGCCCTCAAATACCAGTTCGTTGAGTGCCATCTATTCTTTACATAAGACTGTGGAGCGAATTCCCACTGACAAGAAAAATGGAGTAAATGAAAATCAAATGGTATTTGCTAATCCATATTTGGATACTACCCAACACGATGATGGGGGCCTGGGTAACAATTTTGAAAGAAATATGGACCCCATGCCCCCAACATCCTCCAGGAAAGATACCTACCCTAGCCTGAACTCTACCAATGCAAGCAATATTAATGAGTCATGCCTAGAGAATGGAAACCTAATTAGCGATTGTGAAACAAATTTAAGCAAAAAATCTGTGAAATACTTGCCAGGAAATAATGACGTATCAAATTCACATGGCCTACCTTTGACCAATAATTTGAGGACTGAAAACCAGATGAATGAAAGCCTAAGTAGCGGTTGTGAAACAAGTGTCGTTCAAACATCTACTACATACTGTCAAGAAAATGCTATCATATTAAATTCAAGTATGCATTCTATAAATAACCCAACAGACCTTATCAAAGCACCATATAATCCAAGTATCCAACAGTCTTATAATGAAGCGAATATTGACCAAATGGATATAGCGGAAGAAAACACATTAAATTCAAAGCTAAATATTCTGGCTGACAAGAATGTTTCATCAATGACTACTCAGGAAATTGAAATGAAAAAGGGCGAGGAATCATTATTAGTCTCCGAATTAGAAAAGACTCGCAATAAAACAATTCAATTTTCTTCAGCAGATGCGAATTCAAAATGCGCAACTTTAGAGATTTTACTTGAAAACACTGCTATGGAAATTGATCAGACCAAATTAGGAGTAACAAATGTAAACAGAGTACCTTTGAATAGTCAGACTGTAAATAATGAGATCCGAAAGCAGTCATCGTTATCAACGCAAGCTAAAACAAACTTCGGAAAAAATATCGAAATGGTCGACTGCTCAGAAACAATAATAGAAAAGGAAAATTCTACGTTGGACGCTCTTAAAATATCAAAAGAATTCAAGTTTGGTGAATCACCACAAAGCGACCAAAAACGCGATCAGGAAAATTTTGCATCAGTGCCACATAAATATTCTGGAGCATCAGCCTTGATTGTTAATGGGACACCGTTAAAAAAGGGAAACTTGCTGGTACAACAAACACTGTGCAAAGTGGCATCTACAAATTTCAAATGGAACAAACAAAAAACGAATGAAAATTCATCAGGTAAAAAAACTGTGAATGAAAAGCTTGATGACGCAACTTTGATTTCCCTGCGAAAGAGGACGGTAAAGAAACCTCAATGTGCGGAGAAATTTGATAAATCGCAGGCCTATTCTGTGGGTCACGAAATCAAGGAATACTCTGCGCTTCTGAAAAAAGTATCAATGGATAATGGTGACTTAGTGTCAAGTGATAATTCTGGACTCGTAAGTCCTCATACGGCTGAAGACCCATGTGTATTGATGCCCATCCCTGGGACAGACCCTCAAATATATCTGCCAAAAAATTTAGAAAATTTTCTATATTCTTTCCTATTGGCAAATGAAATATCAGAAAAAGAGTGCATTTTACAACGATTGGAATCCCTTGGTGGAGATATGAGAACCTTAACTGGCTTTGATAGCTATGAGCACTTTGATTTATTTTTTAACATGCTTGGCCCATTAGCGTTAGAAATGACTTCCAAAGCGTTAAAATCGCGCGAGCAACTTTTCTTGGTTCTTGTTAAATTATCTGGTGCGAAATCTGACATTGAAATATCTAAAGCGCTTAAAATCGGGCCCACCAGTGTTCGAATAATTTATGAACGATGGGAAGAATTCATGTTGAATCAACTACAAAGCGTGTTGGGAACGCAGAAAACTGAGTGGATGTCTGGCATGTGAGGGGGTTATTTTGCTCGAAGCAAAATCCAGAGCCCTCAACTAAAAGTGAAAAGAGTACTGATAGAAGAGTTGCATGTTTGCTCAAATCAAAGTCCTGAGCCCTCAATTAAAAAAGTACTGATAGAAGAGTTGCAAGATTGCTCAAAGCAAGGTGCCGAGCCCTCAACTAAAAGTGGAAAGGGTACTGATGAAAGAGTTACTTGCTCAAAGAAAGGTCTCTAGTCCTCAACTAAAAGAAGGAAAAGTACTGATAGAAGTGTTGCAAGTTTATTCAAAGCAAGGTTGCAAGTAACATTGTACGGGCTATAGAATCACAAATTTGTTGTACGTTCTCGAATTAGTGACCGCCCATAACAATGTTCGTTGCCCTATTTTTATGCTGTTTTTTTCATATTTTACGTTTGTTTTGTTCGTTACAAAATTTCCACTGTGATCCATGCTGGGTTGTATTTTTTCTTATTGGGGCGGGCGGGTCCATACGTAGGGGGTAATCTTCTTTGGAGTGAAGAGTAAAAGTAGACTTATACAACCTGACATGGAGAGAGAGAGAGATTTATTAATTGTCAACCAGGAAAAACATAATTACAATGATAATAAATTTGAAGCAGTGGGAATAACGTTTCTTCGGTATGCGTTGGAGGGAGCGATGCGGACATCAGAGTCAGCTCCCACCATGTTCGCACTAATTGAAATAAGTTATATATATAAAAAAAATTATACACAAACAATGAACACACAGAAGTTCACGGTAAAAATATTTATTGTTATAAAGCGGTCAGAAACTCTAGAATTCTGCATCTTGAAAAAGAAAGGAAACTTGACCAAGAACGAGTTTATCTGTTCTCAAATGAAAAATACTTATTTGGAGTCCGAGTACAAAAGTTAGAATTAGGATTTACATATTATCCCGGGGGAGAGGAAAGTCGATAGTACGGGTTAACCATAATGGCGAACCACGGCCTCTCGTCCGGTTACCATTCCAAGTCGGGTACCGGTATGGGATTAGTTTTTACTGTATTGTTTGTTTTCGGAAGCATGGACTTGGTGGTGAAGGAAGCCGTAACCGACCAGCGGTTACGTGAACCACCCAACGACGGCGAGGAGTCCAGCAATCCTCTCGCACATAACTATCCCTGCATGGGATTCGAACCTGCGAACCAGAGTAATTAGAGGTGTGGTGGCGAGCGTATTCCTAACGCTTAGCCCGTTGAGCCACACGGCCGCGCCAACACTGTTATTGATTAAGAAGTCGGAATTAATTGTTACAATATAAATAATACCTACATTAGGAATTTTTATAATAAAATGCGTTGCTCTTTGTTTATTTTGGTTCTATTGGGAGTTGATTTATCGAGTACAGTTGGATGACCTTATTAACTGCGTACATGTTGACGAAGCGCAATATCACAAGCTGAGCCCTGTTACCAATTAATATCGGGTATAAGATTAGTTGATCAATTACCGATATGTCTTTCGCGTGGAAAAAGAGAGAGATTTATTCTCACAAAACAACATTGAATTGTGTTGGTCAGTATGCAAGATCTTTACAGGCCATCAAGGCTCCTGATCATTTTAGTCACGCTGTGATGCTGTCTTTTTTTTTCTCATGATATAATGTTTGACTTCTTTCTCTCTCCTGTTTATATTTCTGTTAGATTAATTCACGGGTGTCGCTGCTCGTTAACCAGTTTTGGTTTTTCGCGATTCCTTTCGCCCTGAAATGCCGTATTTAAATTCCTTTTTTATATTTATTTGCATTAGGTTTTTTTTTCTGTTTGGTGAAAAAATAAATTACTGATTACTGACTGATTAAGCTATCAGTACGGATTGTCACAATATGAAATTATAAAATAAAGACGGATACCATACGACGTCGAAGAGTCCGGCAATTTTTTTATTCATTTGTTTGGCGATTGCATGTTTGAAATAAATCACTCAGGAATCTAGGCAGCATACAGCGATAGCATCTTTGGCACAGACTGACAGGTGTGACGTCACACAATCGCTCATAGCGGAAGCTGGTATGCTACAAAGCCTCGTCATGCTTGACTGCCCCTACATAGTGGCATCGACTTTCGACGTTTCCCATGCGAATTATTTTGCTTTAGGCTGCGATTGGTTGGATTTTGATAACAATACCTGTGGAGTAGGTACCGTAAGTGATTCTAAACGATGGCGTGTTGTGCAATACCGGGATGCCATAACTCACAGAGATATAAAGGAGGAAGGTAAAGCCCGTTTTTAGATTCTTTCATGTGTTTTTCAATTTCTTGGATTCTATTCTGTGTGTCAGTATGTTGTCTAAAATCAGTTATTTTATGGATCCAAGGTCTATGTTTCGTCTACGTCGGCCTGACCTGGCAAGAACTCCTGGTGAAAGAATACATCGTCAAAGGCTGACTAATGTTATGCTCTCGATTCGGGATTTCACAAAGGGCGATAACATTAAGAATTTGATACACAAAGAAAGGTGTGTGACTTGTTGTAATTTATTTAACACATATTTCAATATCGTTATTAGTTTAGCGCGAGGTTTGCAGCCCTATGTAGCGTACTCGATAATACATCACACTAAAGTGCTAATGGGAGGTAGATCTTACGCTAAAGTAGCAAGCACCTCAACATTTTCCTTGGCTTGGGGGTTGCCGCATGATAATTCTATATTCTATTCAAACTTCGAAGCCCTGGGAATGGTCACACGGTAGACCTCAGGTTGCCCCTAGGTAGGCTACATATGGTGTTAGCCCTCCTGCTAAGTAAGCACCAACATTTTTTTGCTTTCTATTCATTTCAGTTGTCATATTTGTGATAATCATTTTGCGAAGGAAGATATTTTGAGAGTACCAAACAAAACGAGTCTTAGACTTGGAGCGATGCCAACAAAGAATATGCCAGTCCCACAATGTAGCGCACCGGGATGCCATCACCCAAAGTAAGCTTTTGATAAGTTGAGTGTTTTCATTTCAAAGTCAACTTTTGTGGCCCTCTGTTATCCTATAAAAATCTCATTTGTTTAATAATAACGCATCAGTATCTCATTCATTAAAATAGCCCGTTTCAAATGATTCCAGAGAAATCAAGGTACTTGGACATAACACACATATGTGTGACATCACAGTGAACAGTGACAGCCAAAGTATACCTGAAGCATGCAACGGGCATTCTGAAGGCCTTACGCGGGCCCTTGTAGTAATTTGCGGCCCCTAGTCAATTGCGGAAATATTGTATATCTGTTTATTTAAATTGATCGTTTAATATTATATTGGTCTAACTGTGACATTACAATATTTTATGCAAGATGTAATAATTATCTGAATCTTGCTAGGTGTTAAAAAATATGACGCTTTGAATGATGTAAGAATGAGATTTTACTGCACAAATTGTCTGGCGGTATTGCGCAATAACGTTGTTGTGAATCTCAGAGAGAACCTTGGGTAGCTCCTTGATTACAGTGGTTGCTGGTTCATAATTATCACATTTAAACTCACTGAAATTTTTTATCTCCAGTCATTTCAATCTGTAATGTATAATATTTTTTTTTTAAAACTAGCGGTTTTAGATTTCCGAAGAGAATGAGGATTAAAAAGAAATGGATCGAAGCCATAAACAATGCAGGAGATTTTGGCAAAAGGAAATGGAAACCTAATAGCAAATCTAATGTTTGTTATCAGCATTTTCTGAGAGAGGATTTCTGCTGTGATGAGTCAGGTGAGGTTTTAATTTAAGATAGGATTGTCATATTCATCTTGAGAGCAAATCGGGCAAAATTACTAGTACTCCCGTAGTGTGTGTACCAGGTTCCTGGTTTTCCTTATTTTGGTTGTATTACGAGTTCTGTTGTAGTACGAAGGACTGTTTGTGTTAGCCAAGTGAATATACCCCCTGCCGTTCCGTTTCTTTACACAACTTGATGTAAAATAGGCAAACAAAATGAGTTACCTCCATATTGGTACATATACTTCTGGAGAGCCAGTTCACTTAATTATACGCAAATGACATCTTCTCTCGTCCAGTTACCACTCATTAAAAATCTCTGCTACATTTTCGGTGCTCCAGAAGTATGTGTACTAATATGGAGGCAAGGAATTTTGTTTGCCTACTTTGCATCGAGTTGTGTGAAGGGACTGAAACCTATAGGCAGGGGGTATATTCACTTGGCTAACACAGACAGTTCCCAAACTTATAATAGAACTAAAACAAGAAAAATGAGATTAAAATTACGCCCTAACCTGATACACACACTACCGGAGTCTTCAATACCTGCCAGTTCACATAAGGCTGAATGAATGGGGTAGGTAATGCAGGAATAGAGAGATTTTTCTTCCTGAAAATAGTAGTGACTGATGTAAATGTATATAACCTTGATCTGAGTGAAAAACAAAATTGAATTAGCAAAGGCGGTTCCATTACATTTGAACCCATGACAATTGCACCTGTATGCTATTGCACCTATGGAATTTTTTTTGTTTCACGGATAGTTAAACCCATAATAACCCTAACCCATGGGTTATAGCACCCGCATATAGATTGAACCCGTGGATATACGCATGGGTTCAAATGCACATGGGTTCAAATGTACGGTCACCAGCAAAGGCATTTAGTTGGCTTTACTCAATAATAGGGGGATCATGCTATGCGTTTGGGCCTTGTTTACCATCATGCGTGACACGGTAGTGTGGCACATCGTGCTAAGCGTTTGGAGTACGCTTATCACCTTATAAGAGTGGCGCTCTTGTGCAAATTCTCCCGAGAAAAGCTATAAATACGTCGTGTAATAAAAGCTAACACCATTTTTCTATTGCAGGAAAGATACTCAAAGCGCTCAAACCTACTGCAGTACCTTCTATATTCAACACCTACGACGTGGAATTAAACTATGTTAAATTAACGATTGCTAAACCTCCGTTAGAACCAAAAATGAAACCCAAAACAGTTCAAGAGCTACCTGTTTCCTCAGTTTTTCAAGATGGTGAGCAAGCACATGTCAATAATGTTGTAATAGACTTGACAAAGGACACACCGAGCCCAGATATAGTTGAAAAACTATTCATCACAAATATTAGAGGCTCAAATGAAATACCACTTTCGAACGGACATACGGGTATAAACTCAAACAATGCAGATATCACAGAAAATACCAATCTGGAAACTACGGACTTTTTCAAAGTGATTAGCATTGAAGACACAAAATCGAACACAAATTCTGAACAAGCACCCCCAAATACTGAACCGTTGAGTGGCAACAATTCTTTACATAAGACTGTGGAGCCAATTCCCATCGACAAGAAAAATGGAATAAATGAAAATCAAATGGTATCTGCTAACCCATATTCGGATATTACCCAACAGACTGATGGGGGCTTGGGTAACAATTTTGAAAGAAATATGGACTCCATGCCTTTAATGTCATCACAGAAAGATACCTTCCCCAGTCCGCTATTGAAGACTCCGGTGAGGCCCGCCAATGCAAGCAATATTAGTGAGTCCTGCTTAGCGAATGGAAATCAAATTAGAAATTGTGAAACTAATATAGACCAAAAATATGTGAAATACTCCCCGAAACATACTGTGCTATTGAAGTCACATGGCCTACCTTTGACCAATGGTTTGAGGGTTGAAAACCAGATGGAAGGGAGCCTAAGTAGCAATTGTGAAACAAGTGTCGTTCAAACATCTACTACGTACTGTCAAAAAAATGCTATCATATCAAATTCGCCTTCTTTAAATAACCCAACAGACCTTGTCGAAGCACCGCATAATCCAAGTATCCAACAGTCTCATAATGAAGCGAATATTGAACAAATGGATATAGCGGAAGAAAACACATTAAATTCAAAGCTAAATGTTCTGGCAGGTGATAAAGAGCCATCACTGACGGCCCAAAAAATTGAAATAAAAAAGGGCAAGGAATCATTAATGGAATCAGAAACGTCTAACGGTAATACAGCTCAATGTGCACCAGCAAATGAGAATTCGGAATGCGCAACTTTAGAGATTTTACTTGAAAATTCTGCAATTGAGACTGACAATTCTGCAGTCAGTAATAAAATAAGAGTAAAAAATTTGAACCGAGTACCTGTGACTTCCAAGACTGTGGATAATGGAATTCAGAGTCAATCCACTTTATCAATACAAGCTAAAACTAACTTTTTGTCATCCCAGAATTTTTTGATTGGGTTCGCAGGACATGAAAAGGGGTCTGATCAAGACAGTTCAGCTTTTAACCCTAATATGATAAAAGATATGCAGAATACTGAAATGGAGATTGACAATACTGCAGCTAGTAATGAAATAAGTGTAACAGATCCGAACCAAATACCCTTGTATGGTAATAATGTGAAAAGTGCGATTCATAATCAGTCTTCTTTACCAATGCAAGCTAAATCTAACTTTTCGTCATCCCAAAATTTTGGAGGGTCTGATCCAAATATTTTGAAATTGAATATTGACGTAACAGATATGGCTGCAGAACCTACAATACAGGCTGGCACCTATTTTATGCCTTCCCAAAATCATAGTAGCGAGTCCACAGGACATAAAAAAGGCCCAGATCAAGATATTTCAAAGTCGAATACTGATATGATTGCAGATACTGAAGGTTTTGTGGAAGCAAATAGCCATTTACCATCGGACACCCTTCAAATATCAAAAGATCTCGATGAAAAATTGTGGCAAAGCTACCAAAAAAAGCAATGATCATATTCTTCCAGAAATAGTGCATAAAAATTCTGAAGGCTCAGCCTTGATTGTTAATGGGAAAAAAGGAAATTTGCTGTTACAACAAACACTGTGCAATGTGGCATTTACAAATTTTAAAATGAACAAGCAAAAAACGCTTGGAAATTTATCAGGTAAAAAAATAATAATTGGAAAGCCTGATGATGAAACTTTGATTTCCTTACGAAAGAGGACGGTACAGAAACCTCAATGTGAGGAGAAATTTGATAAATCGCAGGCCTATTCTGTGGGTCACGAAATCAAGGAATACTCTGCGCTTCTGAAAAAAGTATCAATGGATAACGGTGAAGACCCATGTGTATTGATGCCCATACCTGGGACAGACCCCCAAATATATCTACCAAAAAATTTAGAAAATTCTTTGTATTCTGTCCTGTTGGCAAACGGAATATCAGAAAAAGAGTGCATTTTACAACGATTGGAATCCCTTGGTGGAGATATGAGAACCTTAACTGGCTTTGATAGCTATGAGCACTTTGATTTATTTTTTAACATGCTTGGCCCATTAGCGTTAGAAATGACTTCCAAAGCGTTAAAATCGCGCGAGCAACTTTTCTTGGTTCTTGTTAAATTATCTGGTGCGAAATCTGACATTGAAATATCTAAAGCGCTTAAAATCGGGCCCACCAGTGTTCGAATAATTTATGAACGATGGGAAGAATTCATGTTGAATCAACTACGAAGCGTGTTGGGAACGCAGAAAACTGAGTGGATGTCTGGCATGTGAGGGGGTTATTTTGCTCGAAGCTAGGTCCAAGGCCGTCAACTAAAAGTGGAAAGAATACTGATAGAAGAGTTGCATGTTTGCTCAAATCAAAGTCCTGAGCCCTCAATTAAAAAAGTACTGATAGAAGAGTTGCAAGATTGCTCAAAGCAAGGTGCCGAGCCCTCAACTTAAAGTGGAAAGGGTACTGATAGAAGAGTTGCAAGTTTGCTCAAAGCAAGGGCCCGAGTCCTGGACTAAAAGAAGAAAAAGTACTGATAGAAGAGTTGCAAGTTTGCTCAAAGCAAGGTGCCGAGCCCTCAACTTAAAGTGGAAAGGGTACTGATGAAAGAGTTGCTAGTTTGCTCAATGCAAGGTGCCGAGCCCTCAACTAAAAGTGGAACAGTACTGATGAAAGAGTTGCAAGTTTGCTCAAAGCAAGGTGCCGAGCCCTCAACTAAAAGTGGAACAGTACTGATGAAAGAGTTGCAAGTTTGCTCAAAGCAAGGTGCCGAGCCCTCAACTAAAAGTGGAAAGGGTACTGATGAAAGAGTTGCAAGTTTGCTCAAAGCAAGGGCCCGAGTCCTGGACTAAAAGAAGAAAAAGTACTGATAGAAGAGTTGCAAGTTTGCTCAAAGCAAGGTGCCGAGCCCTCAACTTAAAGTGGAAAGGGTACTGATGAAAGAGTTGCTAGTTTGCTCAATGCAAGGTGCCGAGCCCTCAACTTAAAGTGGAAAGGGTACTGATGAAAGAGTTGCAAGTTTGCTCAAAGCAAGGTGCCGAGACCTCAACTAAAAATAGAAAGAGTACTGATGAAAGAGTTCTTGCTCAAAGCAAGGTCTCTAGTCCTCAACTAAAAGAAGGAAAAGTACTGATAGAAGAGTTGCAAGTTTATTCAAAGCAAGGTCCCAAGCGCTGATGGAAAAGTTGCAAGTAACATTGTACAGGCTATAGAATCACAGATTTGTTGTACGTTCTCGAATTAGTGACCGCCTATAACAATGTTCGTTGCTCTAATTTTATGCTGTTTTTTTCATATTTTACGTTTGTTTTGTTCGTTCAAAAATTTCCACTGTGATCCGTGCTGGGTTGTGTTTTTTCTCATTGGGGCGGGTCCATACGTAGGGGGTAATCTTCTTTGGAGTGAAGAGTAAAAGTAGACTTATACAACCTGACATGGAGAGAGAGAGAGATTTATTAATTGTCAACCAGGAAAAACATAATTACAATGATAATAAATTTGAAGCAGTGGGAATAACGTTTCTTCGGTATGCGTTGGAGGGAGCGATGCGGACATCAGAGTCAGCTCCCACCATGGTCGCACCAATGAAAATAAGTTATAAGTATATTTTGATTTTCCCACAAAAAAACCATACACAAACAATGAACACACAGAAGTTCAAAGTAAAAATATTTATTGTTATAAAGTGGTCAGAAATTCTAGAATTCTGCATCTTGAAAAAGAAAGGAAACTTGACCAAGAACGAGTTTATCTGTTCCTAAATGAAAAATGATTATTTGGAATTTTGGTACAAAAGTTATAATTAGGATTTACATATTATCCCAGGGGAGAGGAAAGTCAATAATACGGGTAACCATATGACGCACCACGGCCTCTCGTCCGGTTACCATTCCATGTCGGGTATGGGATAAGTTAGTTATTTGTTTTCGGAAGCATAGACATGGCCGTGGAGGAAGGATATATAAAACTATTTATCTTTTCTCTTACCGTTCATGTTTTCTTGTTGACTATAATACTTACATTAGGAATTTTTATAATAAAATGCGTTGCTCTTTGTTTAATATATTTTAGTTCTATTGGGAGTTGATTTATCGAGTAAAGTTGGATGACCTTATTAACTGCGTACATGTTGACGAAGCGCAATATCACAGGCTGAGCCCTGTTACCAATTAATATCGGGTATAAGATTAGATGATCAATTACCGATATGTCTTTCGCGTGGAAATAGAGAGAGATTCATTCTCACAAAACAACATTGAATTGTGTTGGTCAGTATGCAAGATCTTTACAGGCCATCAAGGCTCCTGATCATTTTAGTCACGCTGTGATTAAGCTATCAGTACGGATTGTCACAATATGAAATCATAAAATAAAGACGGATACCATACGACGTCGAAGAGTCCGGCAATTTTTTTATTCATTTGTTTGGCGATCGCATGTTTAAAACAAGAGAGCTACGCACAAATATATGGACACGTCAGATCAGAGCGAACCAGTCCTACTGGTACCTTTGACGCTACCGGTACCCTCAAAAAAATTCTGAATTTCCAGTAGCAAGAATTTTGCAGAATCAAAACGTACAGCCAGTCATGACACTGACTAAAATCCGTGTTCCCATGGATAGAAAATAATACAGCAAAATTTTAGACGAAATATCAAATTTCATAGAATTCACGCAAAATTTTGAAATAAATAAAAGTAATAACCTTCTAGCGAAAAAATTAATCTTTAACCACTGAAAATTTCAAAGCAATTGGTCCAGTATTCGAAGAGAAAAGCGAGTTTTTAAAAACGTGTCAAAGAACAAGAACAACAACATAATATTGAAACGATCGTTATGTCCACTACGTGTCCAATAAATCACTCAGGAATCTAGGCAGCATATAGCGATAGCATCTTTGGCACAGACTGACAGGTGTGACGTCACACAATCGCTTATAGCGGAAGCTGGTATGCTACAAAGCCTCGTCATGCTTGAATGCCCCTACATAGTGCACCGACTTTCGACGTTTCCCATGCGAAATATTTTGCTTTAGGCTGCGATTGGTTGGATTTTGATAACAATACCTGTGGAGTATCATAAAAAAAAAAATAAAAAAAAAAATAAATACCTGTGGAGTAGGTACCGTAAGTGATTCTAAACGATGGCGTGTTGTGCAATACCTGGATGCCATAACTCACAGAGACATAAAGGAGGAAGGTAAAGCCCGTTTTTAGATTCTTTCATGTGTTTTCTCAATTTCTTGGATTTCCATTCTGTGTGTCAGTATGTTGTCTAAAATCAGTTATTTTATGGATCCAAGGTCTATGTTTCGTCTACGTCGGCCTGACCTGGCAAGAACTCCTGGTGAAAGAATACATCGTCAAAGGCTGACTAATGTTATGCTCTCGATTCGGGATTTCACAAAGGGCGATAACATTAAGAATTTGATACACAAAGAAAGGTGTGTGACTTGTTGTAATTTATTTAACACATATTTCAATATCGTTATTAGTTTAGCGCGAGGTTTGCAGCCCTATGTAGCGTACTCGATAATACATCACACTAAAGTGCTAATGGGAGGTAGATCTTACGCTAAAGTAGCAAGCACCTCAACATTTTCCTTGGCTTGGGGGTTGCCGCATGATAATTCTATATTCTATTCAAACTTCGAAGCCCTGGGAATGGTCACACGGTAGACCTCAGGTTGCCCCTAGGTAGGCTACATATGGTGTTAGCCCTCCTGCTAAGTAAGCACCAACATTTTTTTGCTTTCTATTCATTTCAGTTGTCATATTTGTGATAATCATTTTGCGAAGGAAGATATTTTGAGAGTACCAAACAAAACGAGTCTTAGACTTGGAGCGATGCCAACAAAGAATATGCCAGTCCCACAATGTAGCGCACCGGGATGCCATCACCCAAAGTAAGCTTTTGATAAGTTGAGTGTTTTCATTTCAAAGTCAACTTTTGTGGCCCTCTGTTATCCTATAAAAATCTCATTTGTTTAATAATAACGCATCAGTATCTCATTCATTAAAATAGCCCGTTTCAAATGATTCCAGAGAAATCAAGGTACTTGGACATAACACACATATGTGTGACATCACAGTGAACAGTGACAGCCAAAGTATACCTGAAGCATGCAACGGGCATTCTGAAGGCCTTACGCGGGCCCTTGTAGTAATTTGCGGCCCCTAGTCAATTGCGGAAATATTGTATATCTGTTTATTTAAATTGATCGTTTAATATTATATTGGTCTAACTGTGACATTACAATATTTTATGCAAGATGTAATAATTATCTGAATCTTGCTAGGTGTTAAAAAATATGACGCTTTGAATGATGTAAGAATGAGATTTTACTGCACAAATTGTCTGGCGGTATTGCGCAATAACGTTGTTGTGAATCTCAGAGAGAACCTTGGGTAGCTCCTTGATTACAGTGGTTGCTGGTTCATAATTATCACATTTAAACTCACTGAAATTTTTTATCTCCAGTCATTTCAATCTGTAATGTATAATATTTTTTTTTTTAAAACTAGCGGTTTTAGATTTCCGAAGAGAATGAGGATTAAAAAGAAATGGATCGAAGCCATAAACAATGCAGGAGATTTTGGCAAAAGGAAATGGAAACCTAATAGCAAATCTAATGTTTGTTATCAGCATTTTCTGAGAGAGGATTTCTGCTGTGATGAGTCAGGTGAGGTTTTAATTTAAGATAGGATTGTCATATTCATCTTGAGAGCAAATCGGGCAAAATTACTAGTACTCCCGTAGTGTGTGTACCAGGTTCCTGGTTTTCCTTATTTTGGTTGTATTACGAGTTCTGTTGTAGTACGAAGGACTGTTTGTGTTAGCCAAGTGAATATACCCCCTGCCGTTCCGTTTCTTTACACAACTTGATGTAAAATAGGCAAACAAAATGAGTTACCTCCATATTGGTACATATACTTCTGGAGAGCCAGTTCACTTAATTATACGCAAATGACATCTTCTCTCGTCCAGTTACCACTCATTAAAGATCTCTGCTACATTTTCGGTGCTCCAGAAGTATGTGTACTAATATGGAGGCAAGGAATTTTGTTTGCCTACTTTGCATCGAGTTGTGTGAAGGGACTGAAACCTATAGGCAGGGGGTATATTCACTTGGCTAACACAGACAGTTCCCAAACTTGTAATAGAACTAAAACAAGGAAAATGAGAATAAAATTACGCCCTAACCTGATACACACACTACCGGAGTCTTCAATACCTGCCAATTCACATAAGGCCAAATAAATGGGGTAGGTAATGCAGGAATAGAGAGATTTTTCTTCCTGAAAATAGTAGTGACTAATGTAAATGTATATCACCTTGATCTGAGTGAAAAACAAAATTGAATTAGCAAAGGCATTTAGTTGGCTTTATAAAAATATACTCAATAATAGCGGGATCATGCTATGCGTTTGGGCCTTGTTTACTATCGTGCTTGACAAGGTGGTATGGCACATCGTGCTAGGAGTTTGTAGTACGCTCATCACCTTATAAGAGTGGCGCTCTTGTGCAAATTCTCCCGAGAAAAGCTATAAATACGTCGTGTAATAAAAGCTAACACCATTTTTCTATTGCAGGAAAGATACTCAAAGCGCTCAAACCTACTGCAGTACCTTCTATATTCAACACCTACGACGTGGAATTAAACTATGTTAAATTAACGATTGCTAAACCTCCGTTAGAACCAAAAATGAAACCCAAAACAGTTCAAGAGCTACCTGTTTCCTCAGTTTTTCAAGATGGTGAGCAAGCACATGTCAATAATGTTGTAATAGACTTGACAAAGGACACACCGAGCCCAGATATAGTTGAAAAACTATTCATCACAAATATTAGAGGCTCAAATGAAATACCACTTTCGAACGGACATACGGGTATAAACTCAAACAATGCAGATATCACAGAAAATACCAATCTGGAAACTACGGACTTTTTCAAAGTGATTAGCATTGAAGACACAAAATCGAACACAAATTCTGAACAAGCACCCCCAAATACTGAACCGTTGAGTGGCAACAATTCTTTACATAAGACTGTGGAGCCAATTCCCATCGACAAGAAAAATGGAATAAATGAAAATCAAATGGTATCTGCTAACCCATATTCGGATATTACCCAACAGACTAATGGGGGCTTGGGTAACAATTTTGAAAGAAATATGGACTCCATGCCTTTAATGTCATCACAGAAAGATACCTTCCCCAGTCCGCTATTGAAGACTCCGGTGAGGCCCGCCAATGCAAGCAATATTAGTGAGTCCTGCTTAGCGAATGGAAATCAAATTAGAAATTGTGAAACTAATATAGACCAAAAATATGTGAAATACTCCCCGAAACATACTGTGCTATTGAAGTCACATGGCCTACCTTTGACCAATGGTTTGAGGGTTGAAAACCAGATGGAAGGGAGCCTAAGTAGCAATTGTGAAACAAGTGTCGTTCAAACATCTACTACGTACTGTCAAAAAAATGCTATCATATCAAATTCGCCTTCTTTAAATAACCCAACAGACCTTGTCGAAGCACCGCATAATCCAAGTATCCAACAGTCTCATAATGAAGCGAATATTGAACAAATGGATATAGCGGAAGAAAACACATTAAATTCAAAGCTAAATGTTCTGGCAGGTGATAAAGAGCCATCACTGACAGCCCAAAAAATTGAAATAGAAAAGGGCAAAGAATCATTAATGGAATCAGAAACGTCTAACGGTAATACAGTTCAATCTGCACCAGCAAATGAAAATTCGGAATGCGCAACTTTAGATATTTTACTTGAAAATTCTGCAATTGAGACTGACAATTATGCAGTCAGTAATAAAATAAGAGTAACAAATTTGAACCGAGTACCTGTGACTTCCAAGACTGTGGATAATGGAATTCAGAGTCAATCCACTTTATCAATACAAGCTAAAACTGACTTTTTGTCATCCCAGAATTTTTTGATTGGGTTCGCAGGACATGAAAAGGGGTCTGATCAAGACAGTTCAGCTTTTAACGCTGATATTATAAAAGATATGCAGAATACTGAAATGGAGATTGACAATACTGCAGCTAGTAATGAAATAAGTTTAACAGATCCGAACCAAATACCCTTGTATGGTAATAATGTGAAAAGTGCGATTCATAAGCCGTCTTCTTTACCAATGCAAGCTGAATCTAACTTTTCGTCATCCCAAAATTTTGGAGGGTCTGATCCAAATATTTTGAAATTGAATATTGACGTAACAGATATGGCTGCAGAACATACAATACAGGCTGGCACCTATTTTATGCCTTCCCAAAATCATAGAAGCGAGTCCACAGGGCATAGAAAAAGCCCAGATCCAGATATTTCAAAATCGAATACTGATATGATTGCAGATACTGAAGGTTTTGTGGAAGCAAATAGCCATTTACCATCGGACACCCTTCAGATATCAAAAGATCTCAATGAAAAATTGTGGCAAAGCTACCAAAAAAGCAATGATCATAATCTTCCAGAAATGGTGCATAAAAATTCTGAAGGCTCAGCCTTGATTGTTAATGGGAAAAAAGGAAATTTGCTGTTACAACAAACACTGTGCAATGTGGCATTTACAAATTTTAAAATGAACAAACAAAAAACGCTTGGAAATTTATCAGGTAAAAAAATAATAATTGGAAAGCCTGATGATGAAACTTTGATTTCCTTACGAAAGAGGACGGTACAGAAACCTCAATGTGAGGAGAAATTTGATAAATCGCAGGCCTATTCTGTGGGTCACGAAATCAAGGAATACTCTGCGCTTCTGAAAAAAGTATCAATGGATAACGGTGAAGACCCATGTGTATTGATGCCCATACCTGGGACAGACCCCCAAATATATCTACCAAAAAATTTAGAAAATTCTTTGTATTCTGTCCTGTTGGCAAACGGAATATCAGAAAAAGAGTGCATTTTACAACGATTGGAATCCCTTGGTGGAGATATGAGAACCTTAACTGGCTTTGATAGCTATGAGCACTTTGATTTATTTTTTAACATGCTTGGCCCATTAGCGTTAGAAATGACTTCCAAAGCGTTAAAATCGCGCGAGCAACTTTTCTTGGTTCTTGTTAAATTATCTGGTGCGAAATCTGACATTGAAATATCTAAAGCGCTTAAAATCGGGCCCACCAGTGTTCGAATAATTTTTGAACGATGGGAAGAATTCATGTTGAATCAACTACAAAGCGTGTTGGGAACGCAGAAAACTGAGTGGATGTCTGGCATTTGAGGGGGTTATGTTGCTCGAAGCAAAGTCGAGAGCCCTCAACTAAAAGTGAAAAGAGTACTGATAGAAGAGTTGCAGGTTTGCTCAAAGCAACGTCTCAACCCCACAACTAAAAGTGGAAAGAGTACTGATGGAAGAGTTGCAAGTTTGGTCTAAACGATGTCCCAAGCCGTCAACTAAAAGTGGAAAGAGTACTACTGGTAGAAGAGTTGCAACTAATATTATAGGGGCTTTAACACAAATTCAGGCTTGTGAGACTGCCTATATATAACAATGCTTATTGCTCCATTTTTTATGCTTTTTTACATTTTGTTTGTTTTGTTCATTTAAGAATTTTCCACTGTGATCAATGCTGGGTTATATTTTTCTTAGTTGGGCGAAGTCCGATGTATTTTTTTTTTATTTGGAGTGATGGAGTTAAAGTAGGGGTTTCGCGTAGAGCGCTGAGTGGAGTCTGGTTCGCTTCTGTGCACGTTAATTGAATAGATTTGTTTTGTATTGTACCACCAGTGCAGTAAAGGAATCTAGCCCATTCTTTGTTCGACGAAGTCTCTGGAAATGTTGATTTTGATGAGAGTTTTTCAGCTTAGTCTTAACAAATTGTAATGCAGGTAGTTTACACAGAGTAAATTTCACCAGACAGATCGATTTGTCATTGTGAGTGCCTTCTAATATAATAAACAGACTCACCCCCAATTAGGATGGAAACCAGGAAAACCAACTTGGTTACACAAAAAAGGGCTGGTCTTTGCCATTGACCTAAAGTAGGGGTGTGCAAACTAGTTTAATCTGGTTCGTGCGAGTAATTACAATCCAATTTGAGTCCCAATTCATTATCTATACCTAGGACATTACAACAGCTTGCTTGTGCAAAGCGAACAGCGCATTTCATAAGATCGATGACCATAACCAAACTTGTTTTAACGCCCGATCTTGATTAAGGGCCCGTTTGAATAGCCGCCCGTGTGAACAAAACATAAAAAAAAAATAGGGGCCGGTGCTTGAATACCCGCCCAATGTAAAAGCTGATTTTTCAGTGGTAGAAAACATTGGGAAATAAGAAGCACTTTTGTCACAACGCTGTTGAATTTTAAGCGCTGGTAGATAACACACACGCCTTAGGCGTCCAATTACATAGTAGATAGCATTGATTACGGAACACCATGGTTCTCAAACTGGGCGTTGCGACACCCAAGTGCGTCGTTTCAACATGCGTTTGGCGTGAATAAATTGACATGGAAAAAGGATTAATGTCGTCAAATATTTGTCTTCAAAGATACCGTAATTTTTGTATATAAATTTACTTTAAAAATAACAAGCGTCCGTGCGTGGGGCCGGTTTGAATAAGGGCCCGGTTAGTGAGCTGGTTGAAAAAATATGGGCCCGGGCTACAAAACGAGCAAATACGGTATGTTAAATAAAGGTGCGGCCCGTAGTTTCACCCAGTTATTTGTATCCAGCCCACCTGAATTAGATAAAGGTTGCACACCCCTAACCTAGAGCATAAGTTCTCAAGATGCACCATATGAAGCCTCAGGACTCCACAAACTCTATGTTTACTATGTTTTCTAAACAAGGCAGCACAAATACATCTCTGAGTATTTGAATAAAGTAATTTTAGTTTATTAGCCTACATTAATCAGTAAGTTACAGTGTGTTTTTTTTATAAATTCATTGTGGGGCCCCAAGATAATAGTCAGCCTTTTCAAGGCTCCATAACAGCAAAAGTTTGAGAACCCCTGGTCTTGGGCAGGGCTACTCAGCTATTTTTACCAAAGATCCGCATACAACACTTTAAAATTATTTGGGTCCGGTCTTTCCAGAAATTATATTTTGGCATCCTTAAATGCACACTTCCTCAACCAACCGGCTGATGATTATTAGCAAATCAAGATTGTTTATTATGGTGTTATAGTTCTTTTCATATATATTCAAAACTATAAAATTCATGTTTTAAAAGGAAACTTGAAAAGTGATCCAAAATAAAGAATTATGTGCGGTCCGAATCTAGTACTCGGTCCGGACTCTGACCGTCAGTTGAGTAGCCCTGGTCGAAAGTACTTATTTTAGATTGTGAAGAAAATTCAGAACCCTAACCCCCCGTCCAATAACAGAAAGTCTCGACTGCGCCGCATTCTGTGATGTAAATCCACTTATATTATTACAGTAGAAAAATCACAACTCGATGGAACTGTACAATGACAATAAGGTTGTAATCACTGGAAAAAATTTAATCCAAAAGTTTAGAAAGAATTTGGATATTTTTTATGAAGTTTCTTTGAAGCGAGGTCCTATGTCCTCGACTATAAGTGGAAAGGGTATTGATATACAGGGTGTCGATGAAGTCTCTTTACAATTTTAATTTTGTTATGTAAATCAAGTTGTCAATATATATGAACCAGGTTTGTTATTTTTTAATTGTTCGTAAGTGTTCAAGTATATTTACTTCATTTAATACATGAGTGAGGACCGAAACAATATTCGGTAACAATAAATTACTTTTGCAATTTTAAGACTTTATGGACACCCTATATAAGTTGCAAGAATACACTGAATTCAATTAATTTAAATAATAAGTAAATTTCAGAGCTTTATCTAGAAATTTTTAACCAATTTACTTTACCAGTAATGAACGGGGCCAGAGATAGCAACAAATTTGAAAAAAGAGTTTTCAAGGTCAAAGTTTTTTTCAAGGGTATTCATCGTCCTCCTCAGCCACTTCCTTTGCGAACTCGATGTCTTGAAGTTCTCTTTCACGGCGCTCTTCCGCGCTCTCTAAATCAGCGTGGTATGATTTTGGGGGAAACCTCATTGCCATAACTGAATTACGATAGATATCCAAGCAAAATTCGATTCGATTATGGAATGCTTTTTGCGGCTCCCGTGTCCCATAAACATCAGTCGTATCACGAGTACGAACATACCCTTCCTCGTGATTAATTTCCGCTTCAATGACTCCGTCTTTAATCGCCTTGGCGATGATAAACTCCGCCTCCTCTGCCGAATCGAGTTGTAATTTTTTCGCGGCATCAGTGAGGAAAATTCTAGAATATCCGACAGATATTTGTCGAACTCCAGTTTTGATAACATTATGACGGACTCGTAAAATAAGCGTGTACATGCAATCCGCCCGGAAAACATCTCCATGCTTTTCTAAATTCTCATTGAAGAGCTTCAAGTCTCCTGTCCGAACCGCTTGTGTTAACTCGAAATACGGTATCAAAGCACCCCTTATCGATTCTTTTTTGAATTGAGCACGCTCTGGAATTTCTCCGAGAAGTAACTCAACCGTGACAAGCAATTTAGTCACAGTTTGCTTGAATCCGACAGCAGTTGCTTGCGGGGCTTTGCGAAGAGCGCTGAGTAGCGTCTGGTGTGCTTCTGAGTACTCTAATTGAATAGCTTTAATTCTACCGGTGTAGTAAAGGAATCTTGCCCATTCGTTGTTCGACGATGTCTCCGGGAACGTTGATTTCGATGCAAGTTTTTCAGCCTGGTCGTACAAATTATAATGCAAGTAGTTCCGTAGAAGCAAATTCAACAGCACAGATTGGCTTTCCTGGTCGTGGTTCAACGTTGCAGTTCGCAGTCGAGAATGTAACACGCCTCTTATGTCCTCCAAACGGTTCGTCATTTCATAAGCTCTGCTGTAATAGAAATAACATTTCGCAGCCAAACTGTCAAGTGAACGGCGATTTTGGCTCACAAGTTTCGTGACAATTGCAGTTGATAACTTAACAGCCTCATCATACAAATTTTTATCAACAACGTAGATCAGCACTAGGAGGTGGATGTAAATATCAGTCTCCGGAATTCGAAAACTCTTTGCTTGTCGCGAAGGCGGTGCCGAAGCAGCGTCTGCACTTTGTTTTGTAGCTGTTTCCATAGGTTCATCAATGAAGGACAAAAGCATTTCTTTATTTGCATTGTCAGTAGCTTCTCTTCCATTATACACGAGCGAGATGATTTGATGAAATATTTCAGGATTTAATCTTCTTCGAGTCGCAGGGATAGACCGCATTACTCTCATTGCATGACGAGGTTCCTTCATAGTCACGGAACGATCTAAAAGTCGTAACTGTTCTTTGAAATCTTCAATAAAAGCTTTATCAGCCTTTTCTTTCGGGTCAATTTCATCTTTTTCTGGTTTTTCTTCTTCTTTTTTCTCAACTTCCTTCATTTCGACATCTTTTGTTGACGTCTTAGACGCCCTTTTTCCTTTAACCATTTTGAGGATATTAGATTTAATGTTACGTACAATTCTAGTAATAAACAGAATAAATAAACTTTTGTGAAGCTGCCAAAAAATTCATCTTCAGATTCTATTGGACTGTATGAACTGAAACATGGTTCGTGGTTATGATTACTTACCAACATCATTCATTAGCTTACGGTACCCGATATGTACCGTACCGTTGACAGTAACAGCATTCCCAAAACAATAAATTCATTTTGAATTCACTACAATCTGACAATAAAATACCGGTAATAAATTATCGTATCTTGGGAATCCATGAATGGCCTTCCATACCGCAGTTTTTTAAATAATTCTCAAGAGGTAAAATATAAAAGTCTAGTTAAACTCATACAACTGAAGTATAAAACAATATATGACAGATAATGCTAGCATATTGCTATAAACTGCAACTCCCTTAACAAAGCTAAGCCCCGAGAAATGCTGATTCACATGCAAGTCATGTTTAAGCGATGCCTTTGGGGTGCAAGGAGTCGCATTAATCTGACGGTCACGAAAAGTCGTAATCGTATTTTCCTTGGGGGAAAGGTAGCATAAGCGTGGTTCCCTTGGTTAGTAAAATTAGCTGCTTCAATCGCTCGGCCACTGCCATATCTAACGCAGTAATTGGGATATTTTTTTAAATCATCCCCGCATGGGATTCGAACCTGCGAACCCACGAAGGGTAATCAGAGATGCGGTGCCAGCGTATTCCTAACGCTTAACACGATGCGCCACACCGCCGAGCCAAATACGCGGATGTAATGTAGGAGATGCGGAGATGTAACTCGACACACCGATATAGATAGATAGTTTATTTTGAAAACTGACAATACAAACAAATTAAAAATGAAGATTTCCGGAGAGCGAGCAAAAAAATTTAAAACAAGATGAGTACAGTATCATGTGCCTCACCAACAAATATTATATATTTTATGGTAATTTAGTACATTATTGACCATCATAAAAGAATCGGGTTTAATATGACGTAAATATATACTACATAATAATAAAGACAGCACTATGTGAAAATATTACTACAATCATTAACAGTAAATTGCATTATATACGAATAAACTTACTCTGAGAAGTTCGAGTCTATATTCTCGCTGGTGTGACGTATCGTGCTCAGCATTAGGAAAACACTCATTATCACGCCTCCGATTACCATGCGTGGGTTCGAATCCCGTGGGAAATAAATATATGTGAAAGGATTGCTGGACTCCCGTTTTTGTAGGCCATGGTAATTCACGTAACCGCTGTCCGATAATTAGAAGATATCGGGAGGACATTACTGTAAATGTGACGCATCGTGCCGACATTAATTGCTAACCCTCTCCTCTGATATTAATATGTTAATCCATTTCATTTCGTCAACAAAGTCATTTTCGTTTTTTTGGTAGAAAAAGTCTGAAATGAATTCTCGATTTCAGATGGTATGTCATAGGATTAGATCATTCCACATTTTTTCTTCTCGGAGATGAATATGATAATTCCAGCCTTTGGACGTGTTGATTTCAGTCCTGTGAATGAAAACAACGCAAAGTAAAAGTTGCTCAGAAGTCGGAAGGGCAAATACCAAAACACCAAAGGGTATAAGGCTACGACATCAGATAATATAAGTGAATATAGTTTTTCATATTTGAACAAAGGAAATAGCCGACAATAAAGTGGCTAAATCTTTTGGCGAGTTAAACCACGTCGCATCCAGTTGCCAGCCCATACCGAGTTGGACTTTATGGCGGGGTAAACTGTATCCAATCAGCGGTTACGTGAATAGCAATCATCGTGCACATGATTATTCTCCACGGGATTCAAATTTGCGAACCTCCATGGGATTAGTTATACAGTATTGATTGTTTTCGGAAGCATGGACTTGGTGGTGGAGGAAGCCGTAACCGACCAGCGGTTAAGTGAACCACCCAACGACGGCGAGGAGTCCAGCAATTCTCTCGCACATAACTATCCATGCGTGGGATTCGAACCTGCGAAATCACGCAGACTAATTAGAGATGCGGTGGCGAGCGTATTCCTAACGCTTAGTCCGTTGAGCCACACGGCCGCGCACCATTCATCACACTTGGCGGATTAAAAACCGTGTTCATAATTAAAATGTAATACAGCGGAATTTTGTATGAAATATTAAATCTCCTAGGATTTATAGAAAATTTAGGGAAAAATAAAAGTTATAGCCTTCTGGAGAAAAAATCAATCCTCAACCACTGAAAATTTCAAAACAATTGGTCCAGTATTCGAAGAGAAAAGCGATTTTATCGTGACGAAGAAAAAGAACGTCAACAAGAACAACAACATAATATCAAAACGATCCATAGGTACACTCACGTGTCCAAATATAAAAACGATTCATAACTTACGTGTCCGATAATTGAGCCCTCGTTGTTGCAAAAAAGTTCTCTCACTTTCAACGTGTTACGTCGCCGTTCTGGATGATTGGCTATGAATCATCTGTTCCTGACGTCACATGTTGTTCTTCAGTGAAAAATTTGCAGCCGGATCGGGCTTCTGGGTTTCCGCTGGCTGCGTTTCACAGTTTTATCTGATGGCTGCGGCCGTCAATTTGTAATAAACTTAGAAGTAGGCTAGCTCCATGGTACCAAAGGCTGGAAGGCGAACAAACAGGACGAAAATTCAGAATATACCGGTACCCTAAATTACGCCCGGTCTTGATTAAGGGCCCGTTTGAATAGCCGCCCGTGTGAACAGGACATAAAAATAAATAAGGGCCGGTGCTTGAATACCCGCCCGGTGTAACAGTTTTTTTTTTTCGGATTTGTACCGTACATGCGGTGCGTAGAAAAAGTCAAAATTTTCATTATTCCCGTTTAAATCATACTTGAGAATTGGAAATGACAATATACGGTATTAATTACTGTAACGATCGATCTTATCTACCAGTACCGTATTTTTGTGTGTAATTTTACTTCAAAAATAATAACAAGCGCCCCTGCTTGAATAAGGGCCGGTTCGAATAAGGGCCCGGTTAGTGAGTATGTTTAAAAAAATAAGCGCCCAGGCTATTAAACGAGCAAATACGGTATTTAATAAAATGGAGGATAATTATTACAGGATTCACTGATTTATGTTAAGGGAGAATTTAGCAATGCACGGATGCCTGGCTGCACCAACCACGGACTTCAATGTTCAGATGTTCCACCACTCCAATGTTTAAGTAGACTAGTTGAGTGCAAAACTGGAATTAATTTTTTTATTGGCCAGATAGGAAGCACTTTGGTACAAGGGCTTAAGCTGAAATTATCTGTCTTTCACCTTATTATACATTATAAGGGTCTCTTGTAGTTTCGTACCTAACATACTTCTAGCGGGCGTAGCATGACAATTTTTTCACGTATCAATCCTAACCCCCACCTGACTACACCATCCAAAAATTACATCATTACGACGTCACAGTGACGTAATAGAGCCCTTCAAACTATATGAACTGCCATACAAGACGCGTAAACGAGCACCCAAAATCGAAAAGTTCTTTCTCTCGTTTCCTCGTCGCAACGGTTCCAATAGGAGAGAGATCGATAACTTCAGTCAGTTCTTTATCGTCAGCGCCAATGCCATTTCGGGCGATCGTACGAATATTTGGCAAGCTCTATGACGTGATTGTGATGTCGTAGTGACGTGATTTTTGGATGGCTTAGTCAGATGGGGGTTAGGATTGACATATCAAAAAATTGTTATGCTACGCCTACTAGAAGTACATTAGGTACGAAACTACACAAGACCCCAATGTAATACCATTTCAGAATTTATTGATTTATGTTGTCATTCTGAAAACGCAACACTCGGTAAAAGAAATCCTATTACAGAAATGCCTGGAAAACGAGCAAAACTTAAGAATAAAGTTTATAACGTGTAATGCATGTGCTTGTTCACCAAAAATGACACACATAATAACAAATATATAAAGAATATCGGTCAGAGACCGAAGACTTATCGATCGAAAGTTAGGGGATTCTCCAAAACAGAAACTGCGGTTTCGATTTATCCACTCTTACTCCACAGATGGAGAAATATTTTCAATATATTAGACGCTCGTTGGCACCCATATTCGAACTTTGCAGCTTTTGTGAGGAATAATTACTTGAAATTATGCCTTACTGCCTGAGGGGGTTGCCTGTTATCTGAGAATGGCATCTGTAACAATTATAGTCCTGTAGTCAATGCATTTGAAAATGATTATTTTGAACGCTCGCAACTCACAGAGAGCAAGAAAGAGTTTAATTGTTTAGTTACGGCAAACAGAAAACACAGGCACAGCAAAATATTGGTGAAAGCAAAATGATCTGACGATACGACATCGCAGTTAGCCAGACTGGATTCCATGGCAGATGCACGCCCGAGGGCGCTAGCGCTCCACAAAAATGCACGCGAGCGAATTCAATTTTGCACGCCGAAAATTTGCAATTGCTCACCAATGTAAATCGGTTTAAATAGTTTTTAAATCAATAATCTAGTAATATAAAGATGCCAAAAAATTATAACTTTACAATTGTCGACTAATACTTGCTTGCAAGATTTGGCCTGATCGAAAAATGCGAAGCAAAAATCACCATATCGTGTTGAATGATAGGAATCCCGTGAGAAAAATCGCCTCCTCACCGACGCTGGCCAGTTATGGCTCTGATTCAGCGTATTTTTAATACAATAATTTTACACGGATGTACTGAACAGTACCGGTATCTAAAGTCGCACAAACACTCTCAAAATTAGTGACAAAATATAGAAATGATGTTTTGGGGGTCAAAGGTCAAACGTCCATTTTTGCTATGATCCATTACGCGGATGTATTGAGAGGTATCTTAGTTCGAAATCAGTTTAGCGGGCGCAGTTGTTTTGCACGCCGTGAGCTATAATTGCACGCCAGAAATTCTTATTTGCACGCGGGAATTTCTGATTGCACGCCCGATTTCTCGTTCGAAAAGGCCATGAAATCCAGACTGGGCAGTTAGTTACCACCCAATTGCTGGATTTGTGTATATCGAAAGTATTTGACACATATCAGTGCTGTATGGCATAGTTCTTCGATTCCAAGTACAGCCCCCAAATAAAAGACATCAAATATAACCAAGTGCAATTTCAAGCATTTTGTGGCGTCTAGAACTGCCGCAAAACCATGGCGGGATTTCCAAACCATGGCCGCTATGACCAAACCCACGGTGACTCGCTATTGGTTTGTGTACCACCAATTTTGCTGCCATAACCACGGCATGTCGGCTGTAATAGCAGGGCTGCCCCTGATGGTGATAAATATTGGGTAAGTTGTTTTCTTATGAAAACAATTTTGATGTATTTGGGGTTAGGTTTAGGTTTAAGTAGATATAATTCCGCATGATAAACTAAAATATTGTACATGACTTTGTAAATATACCGATAATACCGCCATAAAACCATGGCAAGAGACGGCGCGGTACGTTCGTGGCAGGAGCTGCCTAAATAAAACAGTGAAAAAAAAAATCTTGATTTATTTTTTGTCATACTTTTGTACCTACTTACTTCAGAATCAAAAAAAAATAAATTATAACAGTGAGTTAAAACCCCTCCTTAATGTATGACAGTCTGGGCCTCCATAGCTTTGTGCAATAAACTAAAAGGAAGTTCAATCTAAAAATGTTACCATTGAATTTCTCTGAAAAAATAATTCGATGTACTGAAAAAAAGTTACCGTAACATTTGGGAGCAGCAAAAATCGCAAGTTTAGTCATGTGACAGTTGCGATTAATTTACGGTAGATTATTATTGAGACAAGCATGACACAAACTGACCGGTGCCAGACACCCTCGCTTCAGAGATATCTGTGTGGGGTCATCTTGAAATTAGAGAACTTACTGTTTACTCGAGTAGTTTATTTGTTTACTCTGTTGATAAATAGAACATCAGTCTATTTTCCTACTAATTTTTCAGTTAATATACTTTATTTTAGCTGTATTCACACAATATCTGTAATTATGTTATAAGTAAAAAATACAATAAAAAAGCAAACCATTTTAATATGGATCTACAAGGCGGATTCACATTCTGGATGATTTTTTATTTCATTGGATCGGCGGCCTGTACGAGTATCACAAAACGCGATTCAATTGATGATTTCACCACTCATGACTTTAATAAATATCATCATTATGATTACTTAGTCGCCACACTCGATGGCTTACAGAATCAGTTTCCTGATCTTGCGCGAACAGGATCTATCGGTCAATCAGTACAAAAACGTGAACTAATGTACATAGAAATTTCTAAAAATGTTGTACAAGAAAGCCCAGGAAGGCCAAAGGTCAAATTAGTGGGAAATATGCATGGCGACGAAACCATCGGGAGGGAAATTTTGATCTATCTCGCCCAACATCTACTTGGGAAATACGAAACAGATGACAGGGCGAAATATATCGTGGATAATGTAAGACTATTCATCATGCCTTCTTTGAATCCTGATGGGTTTGAGTTGGCAATTGAAGGTTCATGCACGTCGAGGTATAAGGGACGAGAGAACGCGAATTCCGCTGATTTAAATCGCAATTTTCCAGATCAATTTGACACCCCAGTTGGTGCAAAAAAACGGAAACAAAGCCGCCAACCCGAAACGGCAGCAATGATTGATTGGATACTGAAAAACTTTTTCGTGCTTTCAGCAAATTTTCACGCTGGTAGCGAAGTCGCGAGCTACCCATTTGATGACTCTGCAGATCATTCTTATGGACATAAAAGCCAAGCTCCTGATGATATATTTTTCCGATACATGGCGCGTACTTACGCCGATAAACATTTAACAATGAGTAAACCTGGACAAAAATGCGGGACAGATCAGTTTGAGAATGGAATTACTAACGGTGCTAAATGGTATGACGTTCCAGGCGGTATGGAAGATTTCAATTACTTACAAGGAAATTGTTTTGAAATTACATTGGAATTGACATGCTGTAAATATCCGATGGCCTCTGAGTTGCAACGGGAGTGGGGGAAAAATAAAGAAGCTCTTCTAAGTTTTGTGGAGCTTATAAAATCCGGTATTTGGGGGTTCGTAATTGATGGTGAAACAGGAGAAAAGCTACAAAATGTCATTGTTGAAGTTGTAGGCATTGAGAAAAACATAACAACAGCGGAACATGGAGATTTTTGGCGCCTTCTCATCCCTGGTTTTTACGATTTAAAATTTCATCGTGAAGGATATAAAAGCTCGGAACCGATACCTATGATTGTGGTACAAGGAACGCCAAGTAGAATGAACGTTTCTCTCTATAAAGAGAATTCATCATTTGAAGAAAATTCTGAAGTGCTCCCTACTACGTCTAGTGGTGAAGAGATGATATCAGTATCCCTCAACGAAGATACGGATCTCGATAATGAAGGAAAAACAAAAACGATCGTTGTTTCACCAGACATAAACATACCTAGTTCGGCCACCACGGAACCAGTTAACGAGGAAAGCAAACTGAACGAAATTGTCGATATAGTTGGAAGCATAGAATCACAACTGGAGTTCCAATATCACGACCACGAAGCGTTGACAAAATTTTTAACAATTTATTCGCAACTGTTTCCTTCGATTACAAGACTTTACAGTATTGGGGAGTCAGTGCAAGGAAGAGAGCTTTGGGTTTTAGAAATTTCTGACAATCCTGGGGTTCATGAACCTGGGGAACCAGAGTTCAAATATATAGGAAACATGCACGGAAATGAGGTCGTAGGTCGCGAGATTTTATTGAATTTGATAACGTATTTATGTTATGGATATGGTGATGATAAAAAGGTGACTGATATTGTCGACAACACGCGGATTCATATCATGCCTACGATGAACCCCGATGGGTTTGAAATTGCACAAGAGGGCGATATAGAGGGCACAAAAGGCCGTGAAAACGCAAATAAAGTCGACCTGAATCGTAATTTTCCAGATCAATATTATCCAAACAGAATCCGTGACCCAGAAGTTGAAACTGTAGCTATCATGAAATGGCTCAAATCGTACCCATTTGTCCTTTCGGCTAATTTGCATGGAGGATCCCTTGTAGCAAATTATCCGTATGACGATTTACCAAATAGGGGCCAACGGAGAGGGGACCATGGTTACAGCAAGTCCCCCGATGACAATATCTTTATCCATCTTGCGAAAGTTTACTCCCAATCGCACCGTACCATGCATAATGGTAAACCATGCGTTGATTTATTTCCCGGGGAAACTTTTGACGAAGGAATCACGAATGGTGCGGATTGGTACTCCGTCGCTGGGGGAATGCAAGACTGGAATTACGTGAATACGAATTGCTTTGAGATTACTCTTGAATTAGGATGCATGAAATACCCTTGGCACAAAGATTTGGAAACTTATTGGAAGGACAATAAGAACGCACTTGTTGATTTTATGGACGAGGTCCACAAGGGGGTGACGGGATTCGTTTTCGACACAAAGGGGGTGCCGATTTCAAACGCTGTAATTTTAGTTCAGGGAATTAAGCATAACATCACAACAGCTAAGGATGGTGATTTTTGGCGCCTCCTAGTGCCAGGAGATTACAAATTAACCGCTTCTAAAGATGGATATATTGCAAGAAGTTTTGACATAGAAGTGACTTCTGATTACGCTGTGGTACAAAATTTCACTCTTCTTAAAGAAGGGGAAACCCCAATTTTACCAAACGAAAATCCAAATCCTCCTCAAAATGGGAGCGTGGAAATAAGCGTTGGCGGCATCGTGTGGTCAACTAAAGACCAGGGTTACATATTCGGAATATCGAAGGTGCTGATTATCACTGTAGGAGTTGCAATAATCGCGATGGCAATCTGTATATTCTTTGTCGTTAGATTAAACTACCAAAGACACGATTACACGAAAGTAGACCAAGGTTTTCATCGTATTAACAAAACTTTAGATGAGTACAGCGATCAGGTTCCTATACCAGAGTCAAACTCGATGCTCGCTGATAAAGACAGAGTTTATCAAGAAGTCTACCACGATGAGTCTTCTTCTGAGGGTGAGGAGGACGTTATTTTTGCCCCCAAAACTGTATAATGCCTCTAGTGGTCTAGATTTTTGAATATAACAAACTTTATTAATAGTGACCAATATTATTTTAATTATGCTCTCGTTATGTCTTTTTATTCAAATTTGGGATTTTTCTAGAATTGAAAGATTATTTCTCAGTCTTGGTAAGTTACAGAACATTTTTACTAACACAAAGTTTACTGTAATAACTGAAACAACTCTTAAATATCAATAAACGGTGCTTTTTTTCGATATATAATTTGAATTTTTAGAAGGTTAAAATATAGGTAGTCCAAGCGATTGAAGAGTCTTGCTTTTCACTAACACAAATATATTTCTGTAACATTTCGTCTTACCAAGGTCAGACTTCATCAGACAAACATAGTTCAACTAAAAATTTTGTGTTAGTTTACAGCAGGATTCCTAAATCACATAGAATGATCATCTTCACTCTTTCGACATCATTCTTGCGTTGTACAGAGTAACCCCTCGCCCGCAAAAAAAAAAAAAAAAACAGGTCATTTATCCTATAGAAAACATAAATTTTATGCAAAACATCCCAGGTTGCTGAAACTTTTGGGTGTAATCATACACAAACAAAAATTTCAAATAAATTGGCTTTCTTTTTGCGGAAGTAATTGCGATATTTATATTGTTTTTTTTTTGGAAAGAGGGGATTACGCTGTATACGGATCAAATTCATAAGGCATTCTGTTTTTTTTTTCATATCTTCATTATATTCCGTCTATAGCAATTATTTTACGACTATAGATTTTTAGATGAAACAATATTGAAATATCAAGAGAACTTTAAAAATGTCCTGCCCATAGAACCCCCACTTGTGCCTTTATTTAGGTTAAAATATTGTGTTGTTTTATGATACCGATTGTATAATGTTATTTTGGTTTATTTGTCAAGTATTTTTTTCTCCCCCCCTGGGGTTCTCAACCTTTTCTCTGTTAAGTGCCCCCCGAGTCACGAAACAATCAACGCGAACCCAGGTCATTCGAAATGCAATTGGTATTATATGTCCATTCCTATTTCAAACCTGCTGTCTGTATGGAAGCCCAATTTTCATATATAAATGAGGTCGTTCAGATAATTTTGACTGTACACACGTCCCTTTAAGACCATACTTCGATTCTTTCCTGTTTTTTTTATTTTATTTGAAGCCTCTTATGTTATTATTCAACTTATAATATCTAAAGTAATCTATCTAACTCTTTCTATTCTCTCATTTTAGTCAAATAACTGAAGCTTTTATCATTGTAGCATTACTACAAGGGCTGTTGGATGGTGAAACAATAGTTACTCCCGTAGTTTGTGTACCAGGTTATGGTTAGGCCATAATTTTATTCTGATTTTTCCTCATTTCAGTTCTATTACGAGTTCGGGGACTGTGTGTGTTAGCCAAGTGAATATACCCCCTGCCCATAGGTTTCAGTCCCTTTACACAACTTGGTGTAAAGTAGACGGAAAAACTAGTCACTTCCATATTGGTACACACACTTCTGGAGTGTCGCTTTTATTATTGTAGCATTATTCCAATGGCAAAATAATATTCTAAAATGTATTTGGAATAGCAAAGTATTCGGTTTTGGCCATCCCAACCCATAGTTTTTCCTTGTATGCAGTTTTCTGTATGTTATCTAGTCTTGAAACAGCTAGGCATTTTTACTGTAGCAATTCAAGGGTTTCAACACAAAAGGGCGAAAGTTTACATTTCCAAAGAAATTTATTTGAAAATGTTACGGAGTAAATAGATCCTTTTTTAATTTTAGTATCTGATCATAACAAACCCAAACCGCGGCATGTGTGTCACTTACGGCACATGTAGCGATTTATTATGGCCCGCCGAACTTCATGTTTTAAGGCATTTGTGCTCTAGACGCCATCAATTGTTACTTATCACTGTTAAAGCTTGTGTATATTCATAACATTTAAATTATATCGGTATCTTGCGGGAGATCCACTTTCTCGCGTCGCGATTATCCTTCCGTTAATTTTCACCCCATTTATGGTAGTCGACTGGGTTTAATGCATTATTCGAAAGTATTTCGATAAAAATTACAAAAGTTTGAAAATCAGAAACTGCATTTCCCTCATTTTCATGACATTAAGCCCGCAAATTATATCCATGTTTTTGTTATTATACTACACTCACCAATTCATACGCCATTGGCCTCTCTGTAAATTATTTTTTCTGATATCATAATGTGTGAAGTTGTTTTTGCTATTTGAGATCTACTGTAGTGTATTTGATGATATTTTAATAATTTTATCTTTTGTTGTCAAGTAATATAGATAGTTGTCCAAAATCGAATCTTTTTTAATTCGAATCGAATATTATTGCGCAATCTTAAATCTGTCTCAATTTTACGATAAAAACCCCCTCTTGATATTGTGATAACATATGTGGAATCACAACTGAAATACTACCTTTATTTGGACTTCATTTCACTGATTCGCAAATTACCTGCCTTCGATTTTGAATATACGGTTCGCTTGGAAAGCCCTAATAGTTCGGAGATAGTTTATACTACCGTGTTCATAAAGTCTTCAAATTCCAATTTAAAAATATTGTGAAATTTGTGACTTCATCACAAAATTTTGAAATTATATCAAGACTTTATGAACACCCTGAAAATTGCCATTATTCTTCAGATTTTAATAGTTAAACGGATTTAAATAGGCTATAATTTGTAATTTTATGAGTCAGAGATGAATTGCTACCCGATTAACGATTTTTATTTCGGCATCAGCCCTTCGTTAACAATAATATTGTGTTTGAACTTACTTCTCATAATTTGTGTATGTTTGATATTTGCCGGTTGGAAAAAACTCTAGCTGTAACTGTGAAAATATCAAGCCATTATTCAACGTACGTAACAGATTTAGTGTAACATACGCATTGTATTTTCTCAACGAGCCATATCAAAGTTAAAATGCCCTCTGTAGTAAATCAACCATGCTAGTAGTTTTATGACCTCATAGACGTTATTTTTTGCTGATTGCACAAATTTTTGTCTGAGGGATTTAGTGGGAAGTTTTAAATTTTCTGGAGGGAAATTATCGTTAATTAAGGTTAACTTGCGAAGGTTTCATGACCACATAGGCGTTAATATTTGCTGACTTTTTGTTCAAGGAATTTCGTTTGAATATAATTATCTTGTGATAAGATTTCCGTCTTTCGGAGGGAAATTATCGTTAAGGTCAAAATTAGCCAATCTTATCATATTCCAAATGCAAAATCTCATACAAATATAAAATGGTCTGCCATATGTCCCTCATATAGCGTGTATTCTTACTTTCCTGTAGATATATCCTTTTAGAATAATTGATCAGAATTCTTTTGAAGCCTATTTTCTGATTTGAATGTTTTGTGACACTTTGCGTAATTTTATTGTGAAGGTGGCAAATTTAAAACATCAAAGTCCAAATTTAACTGTTCAGATGTAAGGTAAAATGGTTCACCATATATCAACTCAATTTATAGTTTGTCATTTATATAGTAAGGGAATTAAATCCATCACACCCAACCCAGAAAGCAAATAATAGTCAAACTTTAATGTCACAGCTTAAGCCTTTGAATTATATCAAAAAGAAGTGTGCCAGCACAATCTGGCATTTAAAATTATGGGCTTTATTTTATACCTCAGTCACAATTCAAGTTGTGAAATTGAATTCCCAGCCCAGAAAGCAAATAATAGTCAAACTTCAATGTCACAGCTTCCCATCAGCCTATAAATTATTTCAAAAAGAAGAGTGCCAACTTAATTTGGCCTATTTCATACCTCGGTCACCATTATATTGGTAGGCCACTGTCGGGATACTATTTACATGGAATTGTCATTGTTGTTTATGAAATCATCTATGACTCAACTCGGCATATTATTCAGAGTTTTGTCGCGATTGACCCAAAGCTGACTTACGAATAACTTTATTGAGTACCGTATATTGCATTTAGGACACATTTATGTGCAAATGACTTTAACACCATATGTCTGCATTTGTCTGCTGGTAAATTGGTCCTGATATTTATAAATAGACATTTAAAGAGAATTCAAACTGTGATGAAACCTTTACACATGAATGGTAATCAATATTGTTATTTATGTCATTAAACCTATATAAAATATCTATTTCAGTCAAATTATTCGAATTACAGCGCTCAAATTACACAAATATTTAGTATCAGTATTCGTATATACATCTGTAATTTATAAATAAACCTATCTCGATTACATTTTAAAATAATATTTGCCAATATGGAATATATTCTAAATCATCCGAGGGATAAATTTATATGAAATTATCATTATTAGAGAAAAATCCATTTCAATAATTCAGAAATGGTAATTATTGTTTTCGTATAGAATGTTTCCTTTTTGTACAAGAAAATGTGTCTGGCACTGACATGAGCAAATCATCAGCTCAGAGAAAACTAATCCAGGTGTTAATGGCTGCCAGTTTATTGATCGAAATATAATTGGCACACTAAGATGATAATTACACTTTTATCCACTTCAATTTGCTCCAGACAAATTTTGGAATTTTTTCCAAGTATTGTATAATTAGTATTGAATTTGGTTGCTGTGTAGAAGAACACATAGTACTCAATGTATATCAAATAATAAATAAGAACGCAATTTATAAAACTATTTTGTTCAATCATTCTTGTGACACCAGCTAGACGTGTGTGGGGCAGGCGTAGGCAGCCTTTTTTCGGCTCACATGCCAAAATCTACTAAGTTTGATGACAAAATACTTCTGCATGCTGACCAAAATTGTCGAGATTTCACTCAGTTGTGACGTCATAATTTTTTTTTATAGCCATGTGTCATAAAAGGACAAAAGAGTTTAAATAAATAATGAATTGTTATCAAACAATAATGAATAAATGGACACAGAGTTTCATCACATAAGAGTCTTAAAATTCTTGTGAAGGAGAATAATCTTGTTCCTGAGGCTTCACTCACGTGCCGAATAAATAAGCTCGCGTGCCAGGGGTTGCCCACCCCTGGTGCCGGGAATAGGTTCTTAAAATGCTCCATTTGGAGCACTGGGACTCTGTGAGAGAAACCCAGGGGCTCTGTGAGCTATCCGTTTAGTTATTCCAGACTGAATATTTTTTAAATACAAAGCAGCAAATGCAAATGTAATTTTAGTTTTTGTGTTTGTTTTTATAAAATTATTGTGGATCTTCGTAAATAATAGTCAATCTCTTCAAATTGTAAAGTCTGAAAAAATTTCCATTCGAAAATATTACAAAGATAATATAGGCACATTTTAAGCTTGTATTCAATCATAGTTAGGAAAGACATTCGCCAAAGTATTTCAAAGCAAGTTGCCAAACTTAAACTCATGTTACTTACCAAAGTCATTTTCGCACACCAGTCTTTTGAAGACATTGACAAATATTAAATTTCGAATCAATTTTGATATTCATTTTGTTTTTGACAACTTTGATTGCTACAAGATTATTTTGGATTCCACCACTAAATGTTTTTGGAATCTTTTCAAATATAATTTGTGGTGTATTTGGAAGTTATTAAAATGTATTTTTAAATATAATTTGGATTAAAATTAACAATGTTTTTCCCCTATATCCATATTATTTCCTTTGTAAAGAGTTTTCCGAAACTTTTCTCCATTTTAAAAGTATTGACTCTATACTTAGTACGAATACTTCCTGATATTTTAGAATTATTTATTTCTCAAGTATGGCCATATACCTGGTACCATGGCCCAGGGGGGAATCAAATAATTTAAAATTTTAATTATTTTTGGCAAAATGTCTATTCTGGGGATTCGGATATTTAAAACAATTGTTTTTCTTTAGAATTTTTCTGAAATTATAATTCACTCTCAAGTATCTATACTCAGTACTTAAAACAAAGAAGAATAGCGTATTTGAGATTATTGGTAATTGTAAAACGTTTTTGTATTCAGATTATTTTTTTTGTGTCTTGAATTGTTAAATCTAGGTTTCCAGAAATGTTCAACCATTATGGAAGCCCTTGTAATTCAATATTCTTTAAGATCCACTGCTTAATTTAATACTCTATGCTATGATTTTACAGTCTAAAATATTGCTTTTTTTTAATTCCATGTCGCCTAGACCAGGGCTACTCAACTAATTTTACCGAAGATCCGAATACAAAACTTGAAAATTAATGAGGTCCGTTTTTTCAGAAATCATATTTCGAAATCCTTGGACGCACACTTCCTCGACTGACTAATGATTATTCGCTGATTAGGATAGCGCATTGTTTAATATGTTCTTTTGCATATATAGTCAGATGCAAATTATAAAATGACCTTCAAAACTATAAAAGTCATTCAATAAACGAAAACCTTCACATATCCAAAGTGAGGCGAATAATCCAAAATGAAGAATTTGGTGCGGTCCGAATCAAATACTCAAAAGGTCCGAATTCGGACCGCGGTCTGCTTGTTGAGTAGCCCTGTCTTAGACTGTTTAGAACAGTCCAAAATTTTGAATTCTTGTAGTGTGCTTCCATGCGTGAACTGTCAGAATAAGACTCATCTTAAATTGAGGGCTCTTATTCTGTCAGTTCAATAGTGAATTTTGCATGAGTGAAGCACAAATCCTTTTTATTGCTGCTGTATATATGCTTTACCTTGAGCTCTTTCTACACAATCTTGTAGTGGGTTTTAATTTGCTTATTTCTGTTTTTGTTGTTTGTTATATGGGATTATATACGAGAGCAGTGGGGTCAAGTCATTCGAAATTGGGGGGGGGGGGGCAAATAGTTGATATAATTAATTTTATATTTCAAGAAATACTCATTTGACAATTTGGTATTTGAAGTCATAATTAAATGAGTATTTGAATGCTATATCTGATGTAGTGAATTATATTTCATTTTAAAGAAAATGGAAATATCTTATTTGAGATTTTATAATTTTGGTGGTCAGACGAAAAATAATAAATTCATCGAAATAACTTTGATTTATTGCAACAATTCTGGATTATCAAATAAAAATTGATGAATTCACAAAGTTATCACAAGTTTATCAGTTGAATTTAGAACATATTCCATATTATTTCAGAATGGTAAATTGTTTGGTTTTGGTACTTTTTCTAGTATTGCCCCAATTTCATAACTGAAGCATTAACATGTTATTGTATGATGCAGTAAAGCCTTAAAATACTGATACCTGTTCAAGTAATTATGCGATATAATTTTTCTATCAAGTTTTTATTGTCTCAATGTGCTATGCTCTGTAATATATATGTTTCTGCCACTGAAAATTATTCTTGTGTAATAAATATATAATTATAAAGAAATATGTCTCGGAATTGATTATTACTGGGTAATATACTCGTCCATTTTAGTGGAAATAAATAGAACAAACAAAATGCGGAGATACCTGGAAGGCGAGCATAATTGAATAATCATGGAAAGCAAACATACAAGTACGTGCCCAACTACCAAAACAGTGGGAGTGCACGGTAAAATAAACCATGATATGAACATCTGGGCTATGGAGCTGCTAGTCATTTTATCATTTGGGAGAGAGACATCGTTTGGGCCAGAGTCATTATTTTTTCAAAATTCAAGAGTCAAACTGGAGTTTTAGCCATGTCTATTAATGTCGAAACCCAAAAAGCATCAAGTTAACAAGGCGTGCACACAAATTCTTGTTATCAAATATTCCATTTATTGGGGATTGAAGTTGAAATTCTCTTCAACCTGGAGCGAAGAGCTCAATTTCTAGTCAAAATTTTATTTGCTGACAATGGTTAGGACCGGTAACCTGATGAGAGGTCGTGGTTTGCCATAAGTTTACGCAGTCATTCCACTCCCCCGGGATAAATATGTAAATCCTACCCAGCTGGAGTAAATTTTTTTATGTTGCACATTGTCAATACAGTAAGGATATGCTGTGCATACGCAATTGAAGACGTAGAGACATTTTAGTGGGGATATTGTCCATATTATATGTACATGGGTGAGCGAACACGTACTACTTCTTTTATCAATACCTTTCCACATAAAATCTGTACGTTTCAAACCTTACTCGAGGTTTTGTTCGCTCTCCCGATTCTATAATCAGTTACTTTTATTTTTATCTATTAGTATTATTATTATCGTCTATTGCTGATTATGGAGTCGAAATAAACTTATACTTATACATCAATTACCATTTTTTTCATAACTTCCATATGGTATATTTGCAATACCGTTGAAATTACAGTCAGAAATCAGAATCGATATGTTGTGATTTGTAAACATAATATTCATAATCTCAGAAAATCTTAGCCCGAAGGTCGGATTGATATTTTATTTTCTCACGATTTAAGTTAGGAGTCGAGATTGTGATTAAACGGCGCGATCAGCTGACTTTCAGCAATAAGCTGTCAAATTTTTATCGCTTGATGCTGCCATCTGGCGGATATTATAAACAATAAAATTTTTAAACTGGGTCATCCCAGTTAAAATGATACAAGTAAGCTGGAAACATGCATACAAACCATAATTAAAATATAAAAGTCAATAATAATCTCTCTAATAAATTAAAAGAGAGACATTTTGTTATTCACTCTCTCTATTTCCAAGGAGGCTATTTCTACACTAATTTGTTATTGCTGCAATTAAACTCCTAGGAAGACAGGGTGGTCATTGAATTATCTGATTTATATTTAGGTCTCCGAAACACAACTGAAAACTATCAAATAGAGTTCAAAAACGCGAAAACGAGGTAATGTTTATGACCATGCTTGAAAATCTGTCTGAGTGAGAAAAGTGTCTGAACGGATGCAAAGGGGAGCATTGTCACGTCACTTTTTGCATCTTGCCGATTGGCCAATGTCGCGAAATAAACAAGGAAGTCGATTCTCGGGGAAAGGTCCATTGAAAAGGGCAATTTCATAATAAAAAGAAAATGATTTTTTTTGACTCCAATCACCATCTGGTGTTCTGGACAGATGCGTCATCGGAACTGCGAGAGCAATAAAGCATCGAACCGTATTAGAACAGAATATTGTCTCCCCAACCAGATGGTAAAACTGCTGCCCGATACGCTCCGTCGCTCGGTTCACTGAGATAATAAAAGTATTGAAACTGAGTCATTTCTTTGACAAGGACAATTTTATTCTTGCCGGGGGAAGGTAAAACTCCATATTAGATTATTCGCTATTTGATTAAGGCCAATACTATAATATAGTTCTGTAGTTAGTGGTGTACAATAATGAGTGACGAAGGAGACGACGACGATGATGATGATTATGTGGAACTGAAGCATACGGTAAATATGAAATTCAACAACAGCCGATGGCTTGAAAGAGAACAGATTGAAGATTTAATATATAACCAAATTGGTCAAAAGACCATAAAGAGTATGTACATACTCGATAATAAAGTATGGCGAGTAAAATTTAAAAACGAAGAATCATTCCAAAAGGCATTAACAGATGGAATAAAATACAAACACAATGAAACAGAATACAATGCTGAAATTGAACAAGTTTTTTCAAATGTTACTAACGTAACAATAAGTAAGATGCCTGATGAAGTGTCAGATAAAAAAGTGTCAACTTTATTTTCAAATTTTGGTGAAATCAAAACAATAAAACACATGATGGATGAAGATGGAGTGGAGAATGGGGTTTTAAGGTGCAAAATGATATTGCGAAATGAAATACCTCCGAAAATAAGATTGCCAAGTAAATATTCAGGCGAAGAAATATGTGTATACTACCCAACTAGACCAAGAAACATAAAGAAATTCGAATATTGGTGCTATATATGTCATTCTGTAGAACATGACGTTGAACAATGTCCAAGAAGACGAAAATGCAGATACTGCAATGGTGAAGGGAAGCCGCATCTCGAAAAGGATTGTCTGAAAAAAAAGAAAGATATATCAAACAAGGAAAATCTGGAAAATGTAACTGTCACAAAGGAAATTCAACAATCTTCAACAAATGGAATAAGTTTACGCCAAAATAACAATGAAGTGGTAAAAGAGATTGGAGAGGAACTAAAAAGACAAAAAATACTAAATGCCAATTCTTCAAAACAGCCAAACATGACTGCGGAACCATACACCAGTACTTCATCTAAAAACTTGGAACTGAAAAAAGAAATACTAATCATTGGAGATTCACAAGTCAAAAGGATGAAACCAAAGGTTAATCAAACTAAAGTGAAAACGCTTCATGTAGAGGGAGGGAAGTTTGCAAACTTGGGAATTGCTCTCAAAAACATCAAGAGAAACATCAAGGAGTATTTATTTATGCAGGAACAAATGAAATATCATCAAAGCCATATGACAATACAAAAAAATGTTTGGATCGTTTAATTGAAACAGCGAAAGAAATATCAGAAAATGTGTATCTGTGTGGTATGGTGCCTAAAAATGGAAGGAACAAGGGGGATGATGGCAGTGATAGACTGAATGCCATTATTGAAAAAACAATCAGAGGCTGCGAAGGTTGTATATATAGATCCACCAGAATGCATATCAGAGGACCGAGTTATCGACAGCTATTTCGAAGTAGACATGATTCATCTAAAAGGAGAGGGTGTCACAAAAGTAATTGAACAAATCAATAAAGTGATAAATATTTGTGGAACAGGAAAAGGAAATATTCTTAAAAGACATCATGAAAAGAGTCCTACTCAAACACTTAAACAAAAAAAGAAAGAACAAAAAAATGACAATACACAAGAATCTGGACAGACAATTCAAGTGGAAGAGTCACAATTAAATCCAGAACCTTGTGATACCATACCGCAGGAAATAGAGGAAAACCCAGATAAAAACACACAACAAGACTGGTATAATGATTCCATGGACCAAGAAGAATAGCTAGTACGTTTATAATTTTTTTTATTAGACTGTTTCGAATGCGGGGGCAAATTTTGGGGTTAGAATATGATGTAAAATAATTAGTAATACCACATTCAGACATCGTGAATTTTACCTTCCAAATTACTCTCTTGACTTATAATGTTAATGGTATGAGGAATTTTGAAAAACGCAAATCAATTTTTGACTACGTAAGGAATATAGGAGCAAACATAACATTTATTCAAGAAACCCATTGTGGCAGTGAAACCGATGCAAAAAAATGGACAAAAGAATGGGGGGGAAATGCAATTTGGACAACTTTTTCTAATTTTCTAGTGGGGTTGGGATATTGTTATCAAATAAAATAGACGCAAATTTTGATGATATACAGAAAGATGATTTTGGTCGATATATTTTAGTGAGATGGAAGTCTTTCGACGAACATTTTACATTACTAAATATATATGCCCCAAATAGATGTAGGGAAAGAAGTGAATTCTTTTTAGCATTACAAAACAAAATAGAAACTGGGATAAACCAAGACGCAAATTCCCAATATAGGATATATGTTGGAGGAGATTTCAACTGCGTTTTGAACAAAATCGATAAATACCCCAATATAAGATACAAAGAGGATAATAGTGTTAAAAAATTGAATGAATTTATTACAACATTAGGTTTAGTAGATATATGGAGACTAGTCAATGAAAACAAAAAACAATATACTTGGATACAAAAAAGCAACAATATGCAAAATTTAAACTCTAAGAGTCGATTAGATCGGTGGTATATTTCGCAATGCCAAACCCTAAACGTCAGTAGGATTGAAATTCAAGAAACTGGCATGTCTGATCATCATCCGGTATATCTCAAAATATCTTCAATGAATGGTTTAAAACAGGGACCAGGGTACTGGAAATATAACTCCCAATTAAATGATTATGACTATTTTTGTCAAGATATAAAAGCTATATTAAAAAAATGGCATTTTGATATCAAAAATCTGGATGAAACTGAAAGAGGACATTACTGGGATAATTGGGCTATAAAATGGGCTATTTATTGTTCCAAAAAAAAAAAAGATGAAGAAAACAAAAAAGAAAGATTATTAATGATTCAATATAGGGAGTGTTTACAAGAAATAGAAATATATGCTGAAGATGAAGAAACTAAAACCAAATTGCGGGACACAGAAGCAGAAATTAAACAATACATTAAACAAAAAACAAGGGGGTCAATAATTCGGTCTAGAATTAAATGGGCAGAGGAAGGAGAGAAATCATCTAAATATTTTTTTAATCTTAAAAAAAATTAGAGCTAAAACTAAAATGATCAAATCGCTAAGAAAAAATGATGGGAATGTTATCCATGAATTAAGTGAAATACAGTGTGAAATTGTTAATTATTATAGTAAGTTATATAGCATTAATATACAGGAAACGTTGATTAATAATTATGATAAACAAATAACAAATGAACAGAAAGATTATA